GAAATATCTTCTGAGTTACGGTTTCTCAATCTCTGCACTATTGACATTTGGGGCCATATAATTCTATCCTGAGCATGGTGTGATGTTCTACAGCATCCCTGGCCCACACTCACAAGATGCTGGTAGCACCCTCCCCTCCAGTGTGATAACCCAAAATGTCTCCAGACATCTCCAAATGTCCTGAGGTTGTAGTTGGGGGTGGGGAGTGATACAAAATCATTGTTGGTCAAGAACCACTAGTCCAGCGGTTCTCAACCTGTGGGTCGCAACCCCTTTGGGGTCGAACAACCCTTTCACAGGGGTCGCTGGGTACTCGTATGTGGGCATATCTGCATGTGGGTCTGGAGACGGATAGAGGAGTGGTGTCTCGGTTCCTAAGACCATCGAAAATATGTGTTTTCCGATGGTCTTAGGAGACCCCTGTGAAAGGTTGAGAACCGCTGCTAATGTGAGGTATTCAGAGTCCTTTTCTGCAAATGGCTGCCATAAAATTGCTGCTTTTTCTTCCTGTGAAGTAGAACTGGGAATTACTCCTTTTTCCCTCTGTTTTTCTTTTCTTGTTAACATTACAAATATCCATAGAGCACTCTTCCCAAGTGAGAAAGGTCAGATGGTGGGCTCTGGTTAGGCACTGGTGTATTCGGGGCCTGGTTGTACCTGGTTGTGAATCCAAGATCTGCCCCAATTCAGGAGTGTGACCTTGGCCAATTTACGTAAACCTCTCAGCCTCAGTTTTCTCTTTTGTATAAAGGGGCTAAAAGTAGTACTTCCCCATAGAGTTGTTGGGAAAACTCAATCTCAGTCCCATAAATATTTGATTGTTAGAAGGATGGCTGCTGGCTGGATAGAAGGTAGGTCAATTTGTCTTTCTCAAAGCCCATAATCCTGCAAAATTCTATTTTTGTGGTACTTCAAAAGGCAAAACAGATCTACTAGCTGGTTCATGAACAGTATATTCAACAAGCATAACTTTTTTAAATGACAAAAATAATAAATCAATGATAAAATGATTTTGTTTTCTTCAGGTTATAGCAGAGGGTTGCCCTGTGTGAGACTTTGTTTGATATACAATATCATACACTACAGCTGTGACTATCCCAAGTTTAGTCATTTCCAGGTGAATTTGCAGTTAAATGATTAACCTATATTATAAGTGCTATTATAAAAAAAACAAAACAAAACAAAAAAATACACCCAAGCCTCTGATGACGCCTTTCCTGTCCTTGCTTAGTGTTCAACCTTTGGGTGGTGTCTACTTTCAATTTGTCGAGATTCAAAAAGGCAGTTTGATCCTTTCTGTCCAAGGCTTTTTCTCGGTGTCTCACTACCCAGGAGATCCCTTCTGCCCATGGCAGGTGTGCCTCCTGAGCATTTTTGTACCTGCCAGGGCACATTCCTTTTCCGAGTACCCCAGACGGACAGGAGGGAGCTTACTCCATGTATCTGCCTGTGGGCGTGCTCCTGACCCACCCCTCTCTTCTGTTCCGTGACCTTTGTGACGCAGGAACAGTGAACACATTTCCTACCTAGAGGGTGTATCCGGAAAACACCGATGAAATCAGTAGATATACAGCAGTTTTTCACAAAGGCTGAAACTCACAGCATTGGACACCTGAGTGACACAGGTATATCAACAAAATAACTTGGCTGTTACTCAGGGAAAGACAGATGTGGGAGCCAGGCAGCCGCTTCTGCTGGTAAGTGGCTGCATGAAGGCATGATAAAATTAGGGAACTGGACTGAGAGTCCTTCATAAGAAATACAACTAGCTTTATCACTTATTTGGCTTGGGCAAAATATTGTTTTCAATTTTAATATGAAAATTACAAGTATGTTTGTCTATATACACATGCATAAATAGTGTATATAATAGATTCGTCCTATCCTATAAGACATCATACCTGGTGACAGTCCTACCCTATATGGGCACCAGTATTCTCCAAATAATAGAAAATGTGAAGCATAGTTTGCTTCCTTCTACATTTGAATTTTGATCTCTTTCCTCAAATGCAGAATAATCTCTTTAAACCCCTTCATAGTTCAGGTGATTTAGAGTATTCCTGACTACATGACAAACCATTTCTGTAATGTAGAGGCCCCAACAAGTCAGGTCAGCCTGGTGGATATTTCTTTGACCAATTTCCCTTTCTCCTTCCATTGATCTAAAATCTTTGCATGATTTTGACCGGGGTGGAGGGGGGGGGGGGTTCATATTTAGCCTTTAAGGAAAACACTGGCAAAAAGGAAGGGAATGAGAATTAGTTGCCTGCTGTGTCATGGGTCCTAGGAATGCCGCAGTGAGCAACCTTTCAATAAATGAATGCTTCACCTTAGCTCCAGACCCACTTTCAGAGTTTCAGCCTGGCTTTCTGAGATCAAAACTACCAAAATAATGTAAAGCATGATAGAAAAAGGATTACAGAAATTTCAAAAGGAAAACTAGCATATTCCTAGCTGCCAGCTAAATCTAGAGCCACTATAATTAGAAATATTTTCCTAGTAACTTCAAACATTGATAAGAATCACATTGATAATAAATGTCTAAAATAGAAGTCTCTCAAATGGTTAGGAGGTGGAAATCACACAATTGTATAAAATAGACCTATGTACATTTTATGTAAACTTATTTTAATTTGAGAAATTTGTGTTTCTTTTTAATTTTTTAAAAATACAGAAGTACCAAAAATATACTACCTCTGCAGAACCACTTAAATGGACAATTACTAATATTTTGTCATATTTACTTCATCTTGTTTTTATTAATAAAAGAAATAAAACATTACTGGTACTGTTGAAGTGTTTTGGTACCACTTACCTCTCCTACATTCTACCATCACCACGCTAGTGGCAACTGCTGTCACAAATTAAGTTCATGCTATTCCAGTTCACTTTCATACTATTACAAGCACATATGTGAAATCCCATTTTGCATAAATTTTTAAGATTTCAGGTAGGGAAATGGCTTTGCCTTTCAGCCACAAAGTCTCAGTCTCGTTTTCCTAATTTCTTTTGCAAACTCAGCTGCCATCTAATGACTTCAAATTGTTTAAATGAGCGGAAGCCCCTCACCTTTAAGTGGGGCTTTTGCTTGCAGGAAGCATGTTTGCTCTCAGTGCAGGAACATGCTGATTGGAGGCAAAAGCGCCAGTCGGTCATGTTTGTAAGTGATAAGAGGAGAGGGGGTGGTGTCCAGAGATCATGTTTCAAGTCCAGCCCTGGTTTTTATGTGTGTGGGAATGGATGCAAAGGAAAACATGGCTGAAGTGCTTTGTGGCTCTTCCTGTAGAACCTGTTCATGTCCAGGGTGAGTGAACCGGGGGAGAAATGGCTCTCTTGAACCACCGCAGGTTAATTGGTGCCTGGATTCAAAGCCACTTACTTCCTAGGAAGTATCTGAACCCACACTGTACCCCCTTTTAAGAATAAGTTTCTCTTCTGGGAAAATCTGCCAATGAGAAATTTGCTCTCCTCCCCCTGATCGGAGGAAGGAGTGGAGCTGGGAGGTGTCACTCGATTAGAGTTGCTGATGTTAGTCAGTAGTGTGTGTGTCAGCCGTGGGAGGATAGTTTGTGAAACTGAGTTACACCTCAGTGTCTTAGGAAACTCGGTTCAGAACTCCACAGTGCTACTGTCTTGGAGAGGGAGGTAGAAGGAACCTCAGGATTTTCCCTCACATTTCTGTCCCATTTTTGGAACCTCTGGATTAAAAGAAATGAAAGCCTCAAGTCTACAGACATTTTAAGAAATCGGTATGTAGCTTTAAGCTTTCACTAATAAGTTTCAACCTGGGTGAGTGTTGTAGTTATAGACGATGGAATGTTTGAACCTCGAACGGAGGGCTGTGTTCTCAGTGTGTGCTGGTTCCTTGCACTATGTTTGGGTTGGGAATCTAGTCTGAACACTTTTTGTGTCCTGGTGGCATGTACACAGGACCCCTAAACTCATGCCATTCCTGTATATGAGGTTTATGTGTCCGTGAAAAATCTTGGTTCCTGTACTTCAGGAAATGGTTTTGCTGATAGTGCTTTGCAGAGAAGTTATTACTTAGGTAATTAAAATGCTCTTTTAAGATTCTTTGAACAAAATTTTAAAAATCCAGCCAAAGTCTAATAATGAAACAAAATTGTTGTGCTATTATTTCCCTCATCATGAAGACTAGGGACGGAGAAGAGGAATTCAGTTATAAAGTCCAAGTTTAGAGACAAGATGAGGCTCAGGCTAGCACAAGATCTAACTCAGGAGCCAGAAAATACAGCAGGGCACATTCAGTTCTGTGAATGAGCTGCTTTTTACACATGATGTGGTTTTCAAAAGCACATTGCTAGTAGTAAAGCCTGTTTCTCCCAACAAACTAATAGCACTGACTGCCGCAGAGAATGTCGGCTGTGGGAACGTGGACGTGAGTTCTGTTTCCAAAAGCTGGAGGCTCCAGCTCAGAAACCAAGAGGGCAGCTCTAGCATTCCCCCCACCCACCCCTGTCCAATTCCTGGAGCTAGATTTCTGTGCTTTTAGGAAAACACTTGTAGGCGGAGAAACTGCTATGGAGAAGCACCCCTGCTTGGGGTTCCGGTTTACTTTCACTTTGCACTCTTTTGAAATTTAATCTGTGGTCTTATTGAAACATCTCTTTGAATATCTTTCCATTTAAGTATGAAGTCAGCACCTTTGATCAGAAGGCATGTGCTTACTGGAATCTACGAGGATTTCCTGACTAAGTCTTTTATTGAGTTGAGTCAGAGGAAAAATAGTGTACATGTGCCCCACAGTTGCCTCGCTTTATTGTTCAAGGAAGATTTTTTTGGTGAGAAGAAGATTACTGTCAGAAGAAGGCATACGATGGTTTCGAGTTGTCGTTGATTTGTGAGAAGACTGCATTACATATTCATACTTAATCTTAGTGCACCTTCCCGATTATTTGATTATTAAGCTGATTTCTAAATTTAGTAAAAATTAGCATTAATTAAAACTGTGTGGTTTTTGTGTTTTCTCAATTTATTAGCTATTCCAATGGAAACAGCTGGAGAACTTATATTTCCGTGAGAAAAAATTTGCTGTTGAAGTTCACGACCCACGGAGGTGAGGATCACAGCCTTTTTTCTGTATGGTCCCCATGACTATATGAATCATGCTGCTGTGAACATTCATGTGCAGTTTTTGCATGGGCATATGTTTTCATTTCTACTGGGTGTATACCTAGGAGTGGAACATCTGGGGGAGGTGGTAACTCTTTAGCCTTTGGCAGAGCTTCCAGATGGTTTACCAAGGCAGCCACACCAGTTTACCATATATATTCTCACCAGCAACGTATATGGTTCCATTTTCTCCACATCCTCTTGAACACTTGTTATTTTTAGTTGAGGTTTTTGTTTTTTTTTTTCAATAGCCATCCCACTGGTGTGAAGTGGTAGCTCATTCTGGTTTTGATTCGCATTTTCCTCATGACTGATGATGGCTGAGCATCTTTTCATGTGCTCATTGGCTATTTGTATATATTTTTAGAGAAATGTTTATTTACATCCTTTGCTCATTTTAAAGTTCGGTATTCCTGATCACTTAAAAAAAAAACACACACAGTTGTCAAGATATCGATATTAATTAAAGTCAGGATTGTAGTTTCTCCAAACTCTTCAGAGGAATTCCTTATCAGGCCTGAGTGGTTGCTTTTCAGATACATTTATGGATGTTTGGAGGTCAGAGGGATGGGGGAAACAGAGGGGACAAAAAGACCTGAATTCCTACAGAGAACATCGGTCCCTTGCTCCCTCCCCCCACACAGTACCTGCTCCCCCTTCTTTCTTTCATCCTATCCTCTTTTTCATCTCATTTATGCATGGGCAGTGCTCTGGACCAGGTTTGGACTTGCATATTTTCAGACAATGTTATTATGTTCATTCTCTGATAATGTCTGAGCCAGACAAATCTATCTAGATCTAGCTCTTTCACCTTGAGGAAGGTGCTGATCCCACAAGTCTTTGCCTTTAAAGTATTACCGTATTTATTCCCAACCTCTTGTGATGGTTTTAGCTGTTTGTGTACAACCTCTAATTTGACTAATTCTTATCTGCTTTTGAGTGCATGTATGCATTTTTTAATATACTAGTTTTACAGAAAGATTATTGCCTAGGCATGATTGATTTTGTCATAAAAGGAGAAAATCAGAACCTGGTGAGCCCAAGATTGTGGCAGCAGAAAAACAATTACGAAGATGCTTTGTTACAACATTACTGACTGGGTACATTTTGTGCCGGGCTGGGCCAGAGGCAAATAATTAGAGTGGTTTCCTTAATCTTTCAGGATTTCAGTGTCAAGAAGAACCTTTGGGCAAAGTGGCCTCTTTGTGCAAACCTGGTATGCAAACTCTTCTCTCATCAAGTCCATCTGGGTAATGGCAATTAGTCAGCACCAGTTTTACTTGGACCGGAAGCAAAGCAAAGTAAGTGACTAGAAGAGTTTTATAGGAATAAAGGCCTGTCCCTTGCTTGCTTTCTGTTCAAAAGATATGCATTCTCAGAAAAGATGCAAACACATGGGTTTCTGTGCTTTTCGTTGCTTTTTTCTTTTTAAGATTTTTTTATTGGGGAATTGAGGGAGGGAACAGCATTGGGGAATCGGGAAGAGGAACAGAGAAATTGCTGTCCTTTTGTTCTTTAGTCTAGTTGTGGAGGATGTCACTTCACTGGCCCATGTTGGTATTATCATTGAGCTTTTCCTGGCTGAGGCAGTCACTTGCCCGCCATTGGACAGCCGCTCACGGCAACTCACGGCGACTCACGGTGGCGCACAGCAGTCCAGCTCCAGGTCGAGCTGTTTGTTGTTCACCATCTTAGCTGTAGAGGGAGCACATCACTGGCCCTAATGTGGGATCCGAACCAGAGCCCTGCTGCTCAGAGCTGGCGTCCCAAGCCAACTCCTAACCAATGCGCCACTTGGCTGACCATTTTCGTTGTTTTTTAACTTTACTACCAACTACCAAAACTTTAATTTTTCTTACATTTAAAAAATGGGCAATATATGTATGTCAACTGTAATTTAATATATATATAATCACTGGATGCATAGTATGGTGTGGGGAGTGGAGTCAATGGAATTGTAATAGATATGTATGATAACGGGGGTGGGGGGGATGGGTTGGGGGAGGGAGATTATCACTTTGTGAGGGGTGAAAAGTATAGCTATTGCATTGTTTTGTACACCTGAAACTAATTAAAAAAAAATTTTTTTTTAAAGATTTTTTTTTTTTTATTGGGGAATTGCGGGGAGGGGAACAGCGCTGGGGAATTGGGGGAAGGGGAACAGACAAGTTG